GTTGGGTGCATCTTGTTAGTTGTTGAATTCAAGAATGAACCAATCGGCAGCAGATGAATGCAGGGGTGGACCTGGTGTGGTGGCATGAGTGGCACGTGCCACCTTATTATTTCGCCACCGAAGGGTAAAAATTTTAGGTTTGTTAATGGTGCTACTGTATCGTTTTGGAATATGCTACCATATTTTCCTGAAATTCAAACAGTGCCACCGTATAAAAAAAAATTTGGGTCCGTCCCTGGATGAATGTCTCCTAGGTATTCGTTTACAACTACAATCACTCCACCTCATCATCATAGACAAGTTGGAGACTAGAAAAGGAAAAAGGAAAATTATAGCTGAATTGAGTCATTTATGAAAGGATCTAAGCAACTAAGGGTTGACAAAATAATCACCTATGCCAATTGAAAGAATAAAGGGCACAACACTAACTAGAACATGCAAGGGACAAGGGTAAGAGTCATGGTATGCACATGTAACGGGTTCACATGTTGATAAAAGGTACTCACTTGATATTATTATGCTTGATAGGGTCAGACTCTATACAGAAAGAAAATTCTCATTTTGAAAACATTGTGATAATTTGTTAGATCATTTTGGTATTTTTTTTGTTGAAAACTAATATTTGTGTTGTTTCAGGTTAACTGATGTTTGTGTTGATTGTAATGTAAGTATGTCATTATGTTGTGCTATAGCTTTTGTTGGAACATGTTATAAGAATTGCTTTATTTTGTTGGAACAATTTATGAGAATTACTTTCTTTTGCGATATTTCAAAAATTTCAAGATTTTTATTGTTTCTTAATTGAACCTGTGATATGGCCAACTGGGTCTCAATACGATCTTCATTTGCACTAGGTTTGAAAGTTGTTTCAAGATTAACTGTTCACCTCAATGAACCCGAAATAACCTCCACAGATCAAGGACCTATTGGTAGGTCAACCCAACCAATAAATGGACACTTCGATGGTTTTGGAGCCACCCTTGCAAAACACCATTCTTGAGTTAAGAAAAAAGAGCAAGTGAAAGGGCATTGGAATTTGGCCAAAGATGACGAGCTCCATGTCCATTACTTGAATGAAATAAACACAGGAAAAAAGATCAAACTGCTCTTATGTGAGGGATACGTGGCGGTACTTGACGAGAGACACTTAATATCTGTAAGGAGGGACGGAAAAGAAAAGAAATACATACAACAAGGGTAACTTGGTAATAAATAAAATTTAGGGACGAAAATAGAAGTTATAACAAAGAGGAGGATTTACTCTTCTTTTTTTAAGTGAGAGAATTTCCATGAATGTCCTTTTCACATTGATTGACGTTTGTGGTAATGATGAGACTAAAACCACTTTCCTTTCCACCTTAGACTTAGAGGGGTGCCTTCCTTTGTACTTGATGGCACCTTTTCTCATTTTTTTTCATCTTTGATGTAACATGAATCCATATTTATGATTATTTTATTTTAATACAAATGGAAGTGTAGTTATTTCTTTTAGTTATATATTAAAATAATATTTATTACTAATATACTTTTATTTCAATATCAACTTGACTTCTCTTCGACAATGACTCAACACCTTAAGTTTATATTTGCATAAAATTCACATATTTTATATACACATTAGTTTTAATATATTCAAATTTCTACATATAAAAGTAGTTGTAAATTTTCCGTCCACACCAAATACATGACTTGTATATAACACATTTGCAAGTACATGCACATATGTGAAGCAATCATAATCTCCATTCACATCTTTATCTTCCCTGTATATTTCACCGATATCCGTCTTGTAATGCACATTTTTTAAACATAAAATGAGAATTAAACCACAAGGTCTAGTGAATAGTTTCCTTATGTGCAATTACATGAAGAAAATCACCAAATCATCTTTTTTGAAAACCCTTCATCAAAGATATCATAAAAATAAGATTTATTTCAACAAACCTTCTATGGTCGCGTCATAAAGATGAGACAATAACCACAAGGGTGGTGCCTGATTGGTTTGAGCTTGGCTCCAAAGGTCAAAAGTATCTGGAGGTCCTAGGTTCAAATCCAAGGAGGAATAAAAATCCCCTTGTGGCCACGGAGGTTCAAATGCGGTGACTCTGGGCTATCTGCAAAGCATGTGGTTACTTTGGGATTAGTCGGCTCGCATAAAGGGTTGGATATCCAGGTTAATCAAAAAATAAATAAATAAAGATAAGAGAAATACATTTATCACATTAAATAATATAATAAACAATTTGTCGCCTCAAACTCATAATACACCAATTTGTCGCTTCAAACTCATAATACACCAATTTGTCGTATCAAACATATATATAAGCACATTTTGTCGCATCTAATGTGATAAACCCAACTTGTCGTGTTCAACTGATGCGACAAAGACAACTCATCACATCAAGCACACGCGATAACCACCCCTTGTTGCACTACACTGATGCGATAAGCACATGTGTCGCACCTCAAGAATGCGATAAAACAACTCATTGCATCAAACTTATGTGATAACCTCCCTTTGTCGCACCACAAGGATGCGATATCCACAACTCATTGCATCACACTGTTGTGATTAAATCAAACTTTTCGCATCACAATGATGCAATAACAGTATCAAATGATCAAATATCATTATTTCCATAAATTGATTATGTCACCCTTATCCCAGTATACCCAACTCCTGATTATGCCACCCTTATCCCAGTATACCCAACTCCTGATTATGCCACCCTTATTACCAAATAATACACAACTCCCCGATTATGTCATACTTATTACCAAATAATACTCAATTCATGATTATGTCATTCTTATTACAATCAGTTGATAATAACATATCAAACCCAAATTTATGTTAATAAATAACATATAATTATAAAATACCTAAGTATGAAACCATGCGGTTTCTTCATGAAAAGCAAATCGAATAATACTTTTAAAGTAAAACTCACCTTGTAAACACAATAAATTAAAGTATTTAAACAACAATAATTATCAGATAAAATCACGTGTTGATATCTTTTTCTTCCTTCTATTTTTCTTTGAAAACAAACCACCAACTTTCTTCTATTCTTATCACTTTAAAAAAAAAAGATAACATATATGCTTTAAATAAGAGGCGGTGTATGTTGAGATATTTTAAACAAAAATTTTGAAATGCACCCTCAACTTTTATCACTTATCCAAAAATAACCACAAACTTTATAATAACAACCCGGTTATCACATTTTATGGGTAAATTACATAAATGGTCCCTATGATTTGTTGAAAACTACGAATGTCATCTCTATTTTAAAAGAAAAAAAAACTATAGTCGTAGTTATTGTGGTATGCATTTTCTTTGATACTTGTCCCTAGCCGTAACTTAGTTACCCAATATGTTTTTAGAGCCTACATGTGCCCCTTGTATAAGGAGAATTTTACTCTTTTTTACTCTATTACTGAAACTACTATATATATATATATATATATATATATATATATATAATATCTAAAATATAAATCCCCTCCTCTTTTTTTCCCGGTGAAGCCCCACCCGTTTCTTGTCCCACTGAACCCCACTCCCTCCTTTCACCACCACCACACCACCACATCCAAACAACACCACGAGATAGTTCAATAAATCTCCCCCCTAACCCACCCACGTTCCTTATTGAGTAGATGCGAGCACCACCATTGTTCATCGCCCACTAGATCAATTTGTCGGGGACCACGATCCCCAGCGTCATTTGTCCCATCTTCGATAATAACGGATCTGCATTTGTATCTTATGGATCAACATAGCTTGTACAACTGCTTCTTCAACCCGGTTTTGTTTATGCATATACATCTACTTTGATTTCTTGTTATGGTTAACAGTGGATGGCGGTGGTTGTCAATGATTGTGGTTGTGGGTATTTTTTGTGTGTATGTGTATATATGTGTGTGTGTATGCATAAAGCAAAATTTTAATTTTCTAAAAGAAAATTAGTAAAATAGGTTAAAAGACTAAAACATTACTTATATGAAAGGGACATTGAGGTTGTAACATATGATTAGGTAACAAAATTGGACCTAGGAACTGGTTTCAAAGCCAAATGCAAACCCCCAATGACTATTTCTATAACTTATTTTCAAAATAAGGATCATTTTTGAATTTTTCAACAAATTATAAGGACCATTTATGTAATCTACTCTTATTTTATGAAAACTATTATGACCAAACCTTAAAAATCAAAGCCTTGTTTTTTTTCTTGAGAAACAACAGATTTATTAAGAAACCACCGAGGCTAGCAAGATGCTAGCACTTACAACAAAGCCGCTAAAGGGCTGATATACCAAGCATTCCTATCAAGAGTATGACAAGACTTCGATCTAAGTCTAATCCAATTATATACTAAAAGAGCACGATCTCCTTGGAAATCACCATCGGGCTTTTTATGGGTTTGTTGAAGACAAGCGCATTTCGATTCGTCCAAATCACCCAAATGAACGCCATGAGAATTACTTCCAACACCTCCTTAACCCTCTTCCCTTTGAAAGCAAATTGCGCTGCAGAAAAAAATTCCGCCAAATTGGTAGCTTGGCAAGGAAAGCCCGACCACCAATTCTTTACATAAGCACTGATCACCTTTGTAGACGAACATCCAAACAAGAGATGAACTTCCGTTTCCGGCTAACTTAGGCAACAAGGACAAAGAACCGAACTCACCCGGACACCTCTTAAGGAGAGATTATATCTAGTGGGGAGTCTAGATTTTGAAAGACGCCAGATAAGCATATTCACTTTACCGAGCACTAATTTGTTCCACTTCGTTATCCTTCCATCGGATTGTAAAACACCTTCCTCGATCTTACCCCGACACGTCTTGACCGAGAATACCCCGTCCTCGGATAGAATCCATCTTCGAACGTTATTGGTATCAACCGACCAGAAGTTGTTAACATTCAGCCCAACTTTACGGATGAGAATATCCCATTTAGCAATAGCTCCCCATACACCCGACTTCTTACAACCGTCACTAAAAAATACCCCCTCTATCACCATGAAACGCCTTAATACTAGCTCTCCAGAGAGTGCGCTCTTCGTTTAGAAACCTCGACCACCACTTAGCAAGAAGACCCCAATTAAGCGCCTTCAAACTACCGATGCCAATATCACCTTTATCCATTTTGTTACAAGTAACTTTCCACTTAATCCAGATAATTTTCTTACTTTGTCCAGTCCAGCCCCAAATGAATTGGTTCCTAAGACTTTCAGGGGTGTTAAGCACATTTTCCGGGACTTTAAACAGAGAGGAAAGATAAACTCCCAAACTACCAAGAACTGATTTACACAGTATCTTCCTACCACCAAACGATAAAGACTTGGCCTTCCAAGCGGAGAGTTTCTCTTAGAATTTATCTACTAACTTATTCCAACTACTTCTCCTTCCCATCTGCGCACCTACCGGAAGACCCAAGTATTGGAACGGAATAGAAGAAAGCTTACAATTCATTCTTTGAGTGAGCAGCTCAGCTTCACCTGTGCCCGACCCAATACCGTACAAACAACTTTTCTGCAAGTTGATTTTCAACCCCGATGAAAGATAAAAACATCTGAGCAAACAGATCAAATTTAGACCATTCGTTAACGACCAATCACCCATAAATAGAGCATCATCAGCATATTGGAGAATCTCTATTCTAGGGCCACCTCTGGGAAGAGACAACCCGTTAAAAACCCCTTTAATACGAGCTTCATACATAACCACCCTAAAAGCCTCCATAGCTATAATAAAACAAAATGGGGCAAGAGGATCACCTTGCCGCACACCTTTTTCCAATGATAAACTCCTCAGTTGGGCTTCCATTCACAAGAATAGAGACAATTGCGTTAGAGAAAATTCCTCGAGTCCACTTTCTCCAAGTATTACTGAATTCCATTTGACATATAACCTCGTCTAAAAAGTCCCAGTTCAAGTTATCAAAAGCCTTCTCAAAATCAGCTTTAAAAATTAACACTTTACGCTTTGCCTTCCTAGCCCAAGAGATAGTCTCATTAACGATTAGTGGGCCATCCAGAATGCATTGGCCTTTAATAAAAGCCGATTGCTCCTTCCCGATAATCGTATCCAACACCCTTTTTAGTCTATCCGCCAGCAGCTTGGAGACAATTTTACAAACACAACCAATAAGATTAATCATCCTATAGTCTTTGAAATACAAAGGGTCCTTTACCTTTGGAACTAGAGTAATGAAAGAAGCATTGCATCCCCTTCCAATTTCTGCGTTGGCCTCGAAGGATTTGACCGCTTTGAAAACATCCTTGCCAATGACATCCCAAACTTTTTAAAGAAAGCAAAGGAATAACCATCAAGCCCCGGCGCTTTCTCATTACCGCATCCCCAAACAGCGTTTTTAACTTCCTCAATAGTGAAGGGAAGCTCGAGCATCTCCTTTTGACTTAACGAGAGTCTTTTGAAATGGTTGCTCTTGAAAGATGGCCTACACACCTTATTTTCCAAAAATTTCTCTTTGAAGAAATCAAAAGCTGCTTTTTTCAATTCTAAAGGGTCTCGAATCCATCTACCATTTACACCGATACCATGAATATTTAACTTGCTAAGTCTGCATCTAAGAAGACCATGAAAGAAACGAGAATTCTCATCTCCTTCGAGAGTCCACCTTGCTTTGGCCTTTTGTCTGCGATCACTAATGACAGCTTCATCAATCTCCAGAATACGCTTCATTGTATCTACTCTGGTCTGTGTCTCAACAACACTCAGGTTACCAGCAGCCGCAATCGAATCTAAATCGTTGACCTTAGCAGTGAGAGAAGCCTTCTCGGCTCTGGTTGAGGCCGATTTTGAAATCCTCCAAGCTTTAATCTTTACCTTCAACCGCTTTAAATTGGATAAAAGAAGCCTCTATAAGAAACTTAGTGGTCACTTTAATATATTTTAGAGTTGTTGGCCAAAATCAAAAACCCCACAAACTATTATTAAATGATTTTTGGAGTTCAACACTAAATAAATAAAACCTCGACCTATCAATCTCGGACCCACGGAAAAACCCAAATTGACCCGAAAGTAAAAAAAAACCCGTCAATTTCACTATCAATTTCAACTCAATAATTAGACTAATCAACTTCCTTGGCTAATATTAGGGCTTCTTTACTAACTTTTATGGTAGCATTTCGATTTTCGGATGATTAATATGTGGTCACAATCGCATGTGATATATCACTCGACATGATTGTTGATCAAACTTGTGCTCGACTTCTACCATCTCAAAAAGTTAACATAACTCTGTGCTTGGTTTATGCTATCTTAGAAAGTTAACGTAGAATTATGTACATTTTTACTATTTTCAATATCGTATTATTTTAAGTAAACTAGAAGAGTACTCGTACAATGCAACGAGACACATCCCGATTTTAATGTTCTATTTTATTATTTGTCTCTGTCGATGTTATAATACGATTTTATGTGTTTTTAAGAAAACAATAATGATTTTATTTTTGAATAAAATATAATCTTAAAGATTTCATAAAAATTTGAAAAAAATATATATCAATGTTAATATCAAATCAACTATTTAAAAGTTCTCATTTTTTTTGTAATTT